TGAAGTAGTCGTCAATGTCGAGGGAGGTTTGCTTGCGGAAAAGAGCCGGGTTGACGCCTACGGCGGGAGAAGGGGGAGAGCGAACATTGTCGAGGGGGATTTCGAGACTGTGCAGGCGCTTCTCATTGGAAGTGTCGAGACTTTGAAGACGCGCAGGATCACTGTTAGGGGATTGAGGCTTCGCTTGGGTCTCAGTGTTGGTGTCAATTGTTGGTCGGTTGACGGCCGTGGTGGCTGTATGGCCAGAGGTTGCGGAATAGCTATCACCCATGATGCCGATTATCGCGTTCGATGTCGAATTATTGAAGAGATGAGAGAGATGGTATCCTGCCAGCAGGCGTGCAAGGGTGAAGGGAAATTCAGTTCGATCAGAAAGATGAGAGAGGAAATAGAGAGAGGATGCTCAAAGGAAAAGAACCAAGAGCAGTAGGAATCAGTTTATCACAAACGAGAGTGAGAATAAGGAAGAGACCAGACGAACGAGATGCACGCACGGGGGAGGGGCCTAGATATCAATGAATCACGAAAGAGGAAAGAAAGAAAGTGGACAGGATGGACGGGACGCTCCTGGCCTGATATGGGGATTGAAGCTCATCCATCTCCATCGGGAGAGCATCCCATTCCCAGGAGCACAAGGACGACAGCAAACAACCTGGGAGCTAATGGCTAAGGCTAAGTGGAGGTGGTCTCAATGCCGCCGCCACTCAGGAACGCTTGCAAGCCAGGGTCCCAGAGGGCAGCCCCCTGTAACGTCCTGGCGTTTCGTCCCCCTATTGGCTCGTGGCCACCACACCGGCGCCGCCGCTTCTAAATTTTGTGGTCTCAGCGGCAGGGCCCGCCTGGGCAAAAGCACTAAGAGAGCCCTCCATGTATAAGTCGTTTCTAGTGGAGAGAATTTTTTCATACTGTGCTGCTGTCGTACCCGGACGGACTCCAGTTATAACGGTCTCCCAGGGAGGAGGAGCAGTCAGTCAGCGCTACATACCTGGTCGAGGCCATCAACACCAACGCACGACGGGCTAGAATTTTGAAACGCAGCTCGCCCCCTCTAATGCACGCCCTTCTGTTGGACTTTCTTCTTCGTCTTGTGGGCGGCGGCAAAAAGACAGAAGTAAACAAGTTTAAGCAAAACATTTTCCACGGGTGAACACGATTCGTCATAAAGCCTCACTTGGGGCGTTGTGATCATCAGAAACAGCCAACCTCCTTGCTCTCTGTTTGGAGAAACTCAAACGCCATGTCTGGTTCTGAGACAGCAGAGATGCAGGTGTGTGACACTGCACAAGTCACGATGCATTAAGTAACGGGTAACACAAGAGACGATCGAAAGTTCTAGGGGATGGCCAGACACTGATCGATCATGATGAACGGGATGGCATGCGAGTTTCAGGGGGCCGAAACCTAATTGGAGCCCTGACACCTTATTCGCACTTCCGTATGTCCAACAAAATACGTCCACTGAACCGCTCCGTCTGTCGACGTCTCTACAACATACTCCCGCGTTTAGTTGAGCCAGGGGGCGCCTAAAAGCCAAGTCAGGACATTCAAGGAATATGTCAGTGTAATGACTCTCGCCTTGCCCTCGATTGGTCGTTATTACAAAAGGAGGTCCGTGACGTGGTCAAGCTTCCACTATGAGTAACAAAGCCTTACTCCCTTGCCCAAACAAATGGGGCATCTCTGAGCGAGAAGAAAAAATAGGCTGCACTGCCCCCATCGGACGTCAAAGAACATCTGGATCCAATGAGCAACGTTCGACAAGAGAGATTCACGGTCTTCTGCTGTTCTCCTTTCTGGGACTAGGGAGACGGCGGTAGAATTAGGCTCGTAACTAAACTTCTGCTGGCTCCGCTGAATCATCTAATTTTATACGAGATTCGTCACCTTATTGGTCTTGAATTCTTCAACTGTTGCCGCATATCCTTTGTCTCCCTTTCATCGCAGAGAAGAGACTTCTTTATTGCCAGCACATAATCACTCATAATTCTGATCATATGGCAATCATTTCTTTGTTTGATCAGCTCTCGCTTCACTATTTCGACATCCATCCTTCGCACACAGTGTCCTTCACAGTCCAGCACAGCCCTCAAATCCTTGCGGAGCAATTTCTTGGAAAAATCTCCAGTCTCCACTGCGGGATACGCGTTGCACTAGAATACCAAGCTTTTTCTCTGATCTTGTTCTGGCGAGTCCGTCTGTTGATCAATATTGTAGCTTATTCTCGTCTCCCCAGAAGCCAAGTCTCTCCTCTGTGACTTGGCTTTTTAGTAATTCGCGTCGATGCAAGATTGTTCGCCTATTCATGTCCACAGGCATCTGCACCTAATCCTTGGCTGCAGTGCACAAGAAAAGCCTCTTCCGCGTGATTGTTCCTTTTGAGTTATAATTTTCGAGTTCATAGCCACTGCAGGTCGCCTTTCTGCGGCCATTGATATGGGGATGCGGATGCATGGCTGTTCACCTCATCAAGTGAATTCGATGTGAGGCGACGTCGAAAAAGGGAACAGACAGGACCCATGTTATAGCCCCCGTGTTGTCAAACAAGGGTCGTTGTAGGGTTCATGCCTCATCAACATGCGGTCAGCAGCGAGCTGAAGTGTCACTAACAGTTGAAGCCTGTCGTGATTCATATCAAATGCAATGCATGCTCCGTGTTTTCCGCGAAGGATCACATACAAAATATGGGCAAATTATGGCCATAATTCACCTCAACCCAAAGTCCCAAATCCTCTTATTTTCATTTCTGGCCTTAATGCATCCTGGGATGGGTCATAGCCAGGGCTTTCATTCGATACACGAATCCTAAATACCTTGGCGACATTGATCTCGCGAAAAAGGAGACCATCGCGAACTCGGACTTTCTAGGATCCCGTAACCGTGCCCTGTCGCCTGCAATTGAGTTCCATGAGGAAAAACGAATGTTTCCAAAACTCACCTGAAGTTCCCTTCTGTGCTGCAAAGTTTCTTCCCCAGATCCGATACTTTTCACCGTCGTTTGAGTTCCTTAACTAAAAAGATGAGACTGGTGTTGTCGTTTCATCATCAGCCTCAAACCCTTTCCCTTCCACATTAGGGCATATTAGTCTGGCAATGGCGCGGAGAATTACATGGATCTCGGATTGGTTGACGGTACGGCTTCGTAATAAGCACTAGCTGAGACAGGATGAGTTTGCAGGAAATTGGACTTTTGGGGAGGCTGCGAATCGGCAAAGGCCCGGAATACGATGATATTTTCTCATTTACCAAATATTGATGAATTGCTGCACATGTAGCCGAGGCCTGGGAAACGTGGAGATGAACCAGGCACTGTCCTCTAAGCCTCAATTTGGTCACTTCGGCTACGTAAAGATGCTTTGAGCTTGAAGGATCAGACTGGGTTGCTCGTACGGAGCACCAAGGCGAAGACTTATCTAAAGTCAATGCTGCCAGCACCCGTACGGATACTTTCATGGATATTCGTTCCCTTGCTTCAGGCATGCTCAAGGCACTCATTTATACTTGTTCGTCTATCTCCAGCTATTTCCGTTGGCACAGCTCTTTCGTTCGACTGTGACAATCTCTACTGATCACTTCGAGTCGCCAGACAGGCGGATGAAGCTACAGGATAGAGTATCCAAAGGACCTGTCTGTTGCCTTTGCAGGTGATCAATTTATGTAGATTTCGTGAGATCAGTTGGGGGCGAAATCTGTGTCTGTAATGTCGACCGAGAACCCACAGGTTTTGGGCTCAACGGCATGAACACTCGAGGCAAGTAGCTGGCGTTGCAGGAACAGATTTCATCTGAACAAGATAAAGTCCTATATGCAGTCGATTTGTGTAGTTTGCATTGGCTTTGAGGGCCAGCCCGTTGCCGGTTTAACCTATAACCTTCAACCCTCATAGGGGATGGAGATCGATCTAGAAGACGGCTTTGCACTTCATTGTCCAGTATGAGATACTCGTCTTGCAAGGCTTTGTGTCCAGAAGGCTCAGCGGGGGCCTAAATCATCAGAAGGGCTTGTGCTTCGTGATTCATTGTGTCACTGCATCTTTCTGCCTCGCCTGTTGAAATGTTCGAGCGATCTTGTTGATAGTTTGACTTAATTGCGAGCATCCTGCGTGGTCGTTTATTCCATCCTGCGCATAGCTCAGCAGAGACGTTCTGAGTACACGGCCTGAGGTTTTGAGGTTGCGAGATCGCCGAGCTCTATGCGCTTGGGAGACTAACCAGAAGTTGGTGATCACGATCGTAGGGCTGAGTCCCAGCTCAAGCAGAGAAGACGGGGACTGGCAGAATAAATCGGTTTCCAGCAGCTGTAAGGACACGCATTCGTGCTTACCCTAGGGGCGCTTTATAATTTGATAGTCTGTGCTATCAAGCATGCAATATGTTTCTTATTGCTCAAAGCAGCAATTGCCGGAGCTTATCATATTGAGGTATTGAGCTTGGTATGGTGGCTTTATTGTTTGGTGGCGGTCCAATCTCTGAGCGCCTGTGGTGATAAGCTTGATCGGTTTGCTAACCGTCACACCTGAAAGGTTAACTCTGATCTCTGGCCGTTACGAGTGTAATCACTGAACGTGTATCATGATCAACACTCACTTCATTCCAAACCACTTCAATGATGCAAACGAAGAAGAACCAGTCCCTGATCTCCAATGTTGAAGAAGCCAGTGGCTCGCTATACGCACTAACGCAGGGGATCCAATGAAGACGATCCACCAGATGCGGCCAAGCCACTGCGGCTTTGAAGGGTCTGGCTCTGACAGCCCCAAAGCCATTCCTTTCAAGGGCGAGCTCCCCGTCACCCCATCCCAGTCAGTTCAAGGGATAATCCTCAAGACCCCCTAAGAACAAAGTGAAGTGCCTGACCACCAAAACCTCGAGTATCGTCAACCCTTGCTTCAAACTCCGGCCCTTTCGACTCTCATTTATCCCCCCGTTGCCGTTCAAGACGCTCATTGCCTCTTCGAATTCTACCTTTTTCCGTGCGCCCATCTCGACCGCCATTGTTTCATCATGGCTGGTCATTGGAGTCCTCGACAGCGCACGAATCGCGCCAACACTGTCGGCGCATTCGTCTTCTTCGTCATATTTATCTACTTCTTCCGCGATACTTTTTTACCCTCGAGTACGCCGGCGCGGAAACATAGAAATGATTACTCTCATATGGCCCTGGGCGACAACGATGTCGAGATGGTGGTGGCGAGTATGAAGCATGAAAATGTTTCGTGGCTTGATGAATATCTCCCTGAATGGAAGAAGAACATCTACGTGGTCGACGACAACAAGGCCAAGTTGACTGTGCCTATGAACAAGGGTCGCGAGGCCATGGTCTTCCTGACGTATGTCTTTTCGTTCTCCATTCTGTATTTATGATACTGATATTTCTGCCTGCAGCTACATCATTGATCGATACGACTCCCTACCCGGCAACGTCGTCTTTCACCACGCCGAGCGCTTCCAATGGCACAACGACAACCCCGATTACGATGCTCTCCCTCTGCTCCAAAACTTCCGTTTCGATAACCTAAAGAAAGTCGGCTATGCCAATTTGCGATGTGTCTGGGTCCTTGGTTGTCCCGCTGAGATTCGACCTATCAAGGACGAAGCCCCTGCGAAGGAGGGTGAACCTATTCACGCCCGCCATGTTTACAAGGCCGCTTTCCAAGAACTATTTCCCAGTCTTGAGATTCCTGAGGAGGTCGGCGTCACTTGCTGCTCGCAATTTGCTGTTCGCCGAGAGACCATTCACTTGCGTCCACGCGCAGAATATGTGCGATTTCGTGAGTGGCTGATTGTGTCTGCCTTGGGAGATGACCTCAGCGGCAGAGTTCTCGAGTACTCATGGCACAGTACGTTCAATGCCCCCACACATCTACTCACCGATAAACTAACTTTTCCGCAGTCATCTTTGGCAAACCTGCAGTCAATTGTCCAAACGCCGCCGATTGCTATTGCCAGAACTATGGCATGTGCGATCTAAAGTGCGAGGCAGATAAGTGTGAAGGCCAATACACACTCCCTCCCTTCTCAACCCTCCCCAAGGGTTGGCCCCAGCTCGGATGGAAGGGAGAGAACCGTGGATGGAAAGGACAGCCATAAATTAAAGGAGGGACAAATATAATGGATCCGCATCGCCTATAGGGTTTTACGAATGATGGGGGGTTTCTCGAACGTCTGCACTGCATGTTTAATTTGGGGCCTTTCATGGGAAGTGTTTCGACGAATGGGAAGCGTAAGTATTCCTTACTTTTGGGTTTCTGGAATAATTGGTTATGGGATGGGCGTCTAGGATTGGGTTGGGCAATCTGTTATGTCTGCACCAAGTAGAGTTTCTGTAACATCATCACGGAATAATTAAAAGACCATTCAAAAGATACACGTGTCAGGGAAGACAAGAAAACGTCTAGCCTTCATCATTCAAGATCACAAAAATAACTAACCTTCATATCTACTGGGTCTACAAACTTTAGGTACTGGTAAGATAGGGTATAAGTTTTCTTGCCCCCTGAGGACACGGCATTTGCATTGAAAGGTCATGTAATTTAGAGTTCACGTTAACACAAGAAGCCAAGCTGTCACATTCCAAGGATGTGCTATACTGTTGGCTCAGAGCTTTAGGGCTGGAGATAGATACGGAACTAATTTAGCTATACCATCCGATAGAATTTATGCTATTTTTTAAACTGGTATTAATCAGACATGGATTCATGGATCACAAACATGTTTCCTATTCTGAATATTTGTTGTCGTAGCTAGAAGCT